GCCTACATCCGAATGTGAGGCAACATCTCCTGCAGCCACTACACGCCAAGACCTACTGGCGGCATCAAGGCTGGTGACACAAGGGACTTCAAAGAAGTTCAGGTCCTGATTAAGCCACTGGATCCCCAAGCCTCGGCTTCCCATCTCAGAAGCAGAGCACATCCTTCCTTCCCTCCCTAGCCTTTGTTTTACTCAACGAAGGGCCGAGTGCTGCAAAGCAAGGACTCAATTTTAACGACCATGTGCAGCAGAATGGACTGCTTGCCTGACGGCGAGCAGCAGGGTACTCTAGAAATGCAACTCTGATGTCCTGATCAACCCCTTCCAGCCCTTTCTATCGTTATGCCAATACTTACTCGGCCTAAATAAGAGCCATCAAAACCCAGAGACCCTTCCTAGAGAAGCTACAATACGGACAGCAGCAGGGCACCCTCGGACCACCCCTTCTGATCAGAAGGGTGGCTGAGGGGAGTTCGCCCTCTAAGCCTTTGGGGAGAGAAAGCTCTCTCCGCTTCACACCATGAACCTTTTCCTTACGTCACCACAGGCCCAGACCACGGCTCCTCGGTGCCGTTTAGCAGAGCATCGTGCCACAGAAATACAGAGGTGATGGTTTTACCTGGATTCTGCACTGCGGGCAAGTCCGGCTCGGTGCTGTGTCAAACCACTGGATGAGACTGAGAAAGGAAAAGGAAACATACGGTAAATCCTTAAAATCCAGGAGCGCTGCTCCCAGGGGCCACCCCCCAACTGACCAGGAGACAGAAGGATGCGACTCCTTTTTACAAACTAAAAACAGAAACGCAAACATTTAGTCCAGATGTGCAGCTAATGGGAACGCCGTGTTCCAGCAGGCCCACTCTGCCTTCGCCTCCGAGACAATTCCCAGCTGAATTTAGCGTGCAAGCTTATCTTTACCAGGGCAGAGTTTTTACAGAGCTCAGATCTCCCTGGGAGAGAGTCTTTGAACAACCGTAGCTTCGCAGGAGCGAACGGATCCACACGCAGAGTGGCACAAGAGCTGCTATATCAGGATACGACAGCTGAGAGATCCCCAGTTTGGGCAGCTCCGAAGGGTGCCACTGACACCGAACACGCCTCTGCGGAGCGAGGGAGACTGGGCCGGTCTCTGCTCCAAGATGATGCATGCAAACCTGTCGGGCTCCCCAGGAGAGCTACGTTTTGCAGTTTTGCAACCGAGCCATCACGTCACACTCGGAAGGGTTTATTTTTGGAGCAGGGTAACAATCCGGAGCTGGCAGGTTACCTTTGGAAGCTCTCCCTCCTCCGTTTGTTGGAGGAGGGCGGGCCCGGGCTGTGCCGCTGGTTAAGAAGCGACCGTCGCACCTGCGAGCAACGGTCCCTCTCCAGGTTAGTTAGCCAGGAAAGTAAACGCCCGCTCCCGCCCCCCCCACACAGTTTATTTCCTCCACACAGAATTTATTTCCTCAGAAGAACCGTTTCCTTCCAAGACAAACACTCGCAAAAGGGTTCCAGCAAAAGCATGAAATCGCCCGGGAGGCTTCGCTCATCATCTAACGCCGCTCCTTCCAGACAAACACCCTGTGCAGGAGCACTCCGCTGGCACCGGCCCCCCTGGAGAAGGGAGGCCGCGGGCAGAGGAGCGACAGCGCAGCCGAGGC